GAGGTCTCCTCCCTTTCTCTGAAGGGCCTCTGTGAATGGCTCTTCCCACCCTGAATTTTGGGACATTGGATGCAAAATGTCTGAGACTGGTGCTGCTGCTTTGTGCCCATCCAGAAAATGTCCCTGCCCTTCCTGCAGAGGTGTGTGGGGATGGGTGGAGCAGGCAGGGGCTGCAGCCCTGCTCTTTAACCTGGTGAACTCGTGAAGAACAAGCTCCAGCAGACCTTTCTTTGCTGTTGGTGCTGCCCATCTCTTCCACAGCCCGTTGGGTTATTTTAGTTCTGTTGCCATAACCATTTGGCTCCCTCTGTGCTATCTGTCACCTGCAGATGAAAATGAAAAGCCCTGAAAATCAGGTGACAATGATCCAGCATGTCCAGGGATGTGTATGTGTGAGCACAGAGCAGAGCAGGCTGTTGTCAGTACATTTTTACACACCCCAGAAATGGAGGGTTTGACACTGCAGAGTGAGAGTGTCTGAGAGAGAAGGGGAGAAACACAGACAAATGTTCCTCTGCTTATTGTGAGGGGAGACCAAATCTCCCTGAAAGTGGAAATCTAATTTTTCAGTGCCCAGGGCTCCCAGCACACCAAGTCTGTCTCTGCTGCATCCACAGAGCCAACACACACAGGTCTTAGAACTACAGAGTCCTAGAAATATTTGGGTTGGAAGGGACTTCAAAGATTATCTCATTCCACCCCCTGCCATGGGCAGGGACACCTTCCTCCATCCCAGGTTGCTCCAAGCCCCGTCCAACCTGGCCCTGAACATTTCCAGGGATGGGGCAGCCACAGCTTCTCTGGGCAACCTGTGCCAGGGCCTCCCCACCCTCATTGTAAAATCTTCTTTGGGATAAAGAGCAGAAATTTCCCTGCAGTTCTCAGCCTTGTCATGCAGAAGGTCTGTGGAAGAAGGAGGTGGTGGTGTGGATATAAGAAATCAGAATTACATGGGAAAATCCTTACAGGCAGGCCAAGGGGAAAATTTCTGCTGACACTCCCAGCTATGGCCACAGCAGCCACTTGGGTGGCTCTTGACATGGTCAGAGATCCCAGCACCTGGGGGTGACACTGTCAGAGACCCCTGGGTGGTTTCCTCCTGGGATAGTAAGGGTTGATGAAGTCCTGCCTGCTACCTATGCAGGTAATTCCTGCCATCTTTCCCCATCTCCATGTTTCCTTTGTGTGCAGATGGAAAGGGAATGAGCAGACTGTGCAAACAGTGCAGACCTTGGACTTGACAAAGGTGTCACCCAGTTTATGTCATTTTATTTAGAACCCATAGCAGAGCTCTCTTGGATTCCATCAGTGAACAGGAGAGGAGAAGGGACTGTCCCAGGAGAGCTGCCCAGGGCCACACAGGTGGGGGTCAGTCCCATATTTCCACCCAGCTGAGGATCTGTGTCTTTGGCTGCATCACTGACCGGAATGGAGTTCACCTTGATTTACACAGGAGGTCAAAAGGGGAGAATTGAGCACAGCAAGCTGAATCCTAGAATAGAAAAAGGCCACTGGAGAGGGAGACAGAGTGCAAGGAGGAAAAGCTAACACTTTGGTCCCTGTGTCTGTCTTTGCAGGTCCCTCAGGCAGCACGACCATAAACAGTATCTTCAAAAAAATGTGAATATTATGCTCCTTTCTGACAGTTTTTCTACCCAATTTCCTTCTGCCTTTACAAGTTGCTGGAGGAAATAAATATTTAATGACATATTTCAATATTTTAATGTGGGTTTCTTGGTTAAAACACCACAGCTCCGTCAGTGAAAGGGTGACAATAGAATTACAAAGTAACGAGCATTGCAGCAGGTGGGAAGTTGGTTGGAAAGGGGAGGGAAGGGGAAGGGAAAGAAAAGAGGCAAAGCTGGCATGGCACAACTTCTCCAGGTGGAAATCACCAGTGACTCATTCCAAGAGCTCATTTCCAGAGCTTGCTGGGGAGGAAAGACCCGGGCTGTTTGTTGTTAGACCATTCACCAGCCCTTTCTGTAAAGCACAGCAGAGTTTCCCTCCTCCATGGCTTGGCTGGGATGTGTTACTCTGACCAGGATCCCCAGGAGCTCTGAGCCAGAGGGACTGAGTGGAGCAAACACAGCCCATGGCTCAGCTTCCCAGCTCCCCAGGGACAGGAGCTCCTGCCCTGCTGTGCCAAAGAGCCATCAGTGACCTGCTGTCTCTTCCCTGGTCAGCCTGTGCTGGTGATTCTTCACTCTCAGGGTACAACAAGGGGGTTGTAGACCTGGGCAGCTCCACCACATCTTTTCCATCTCTCATTCTGCCCCAGGACACTGAGCCTGCTGCTTCTCACTTTGTACCAAGTGGATTGTTTTTGCTCAGTCAGGTGGAATCATTAAGGTTGGAAAAGGCCTCCAAGACCATCAAGTCCAACCTTTGACCCATCACCACCTTGTCAACTAAACCAGAGCACTGAGTGCCGTGTCCAGTTTTTTCTTGGACACCTCCAGGGGTGGGGACTCCACCACCTCCCTGGGCAGCCCCTTCCAATGCCTGACAGCCCTTTCAGTGAAGGCATTTTTCCTGCTTTCCAACCTGAACTTCCCCTGGCACAGCTTGAGGCTGTTTCCTCTCCTCCTGTCCCTTGTTCCCAGGGAGCAAAGCCCAACGTCCCCCAGCTCCCCCCTCCTGTCAGGGAGTTGCAGAGAGTGAGAAGGTCCCCCCTGAGCCTCCTTTTCTCCAGGTTGAGCCCCCCAGCTCCCTCAGCTGCTCCTCACATGACTGACTGTCCAGACCCTTTCCCAGCTCCGTTCCCTTCTCTGGAAGTGTCTTTCTTGCAGTGAGGGGCCCAGAACTGGACACAGGACTTGAGGTGTGGCCTCACTAGTGCTGAGCACAGAGGCAAAAGTTAAGTCCTTAAGTCCTCCATGTGGCACTGTCAGGAAGGCCACGTTTTCACTCATCCTCATCGACATTTGGGGTTGTTCTCTTGCACAGGCAGGGACTCGTGTTGTGCACCCACTGCAGTGTATCAGTGGCACCCACAGGAAGAGAACACAGAAAATCACATCCTTGAGTCACTGTGGACCTTGTGCCATCCTGTGTGTCCCCACACAGTGATTGCCACAAATAACCCCCATTCCTGGTGCTGGGCCAAGGCTGCTTCATTAAACAACACTCATCAGGAGGTGCATGCATAGAATGTCAGCCTTTTTCTTCTGAGACAGAGGTGGGCTGCAGCCCAGGAAATGTGGCAGTGAGTGGCCTCTGTGCAGAGACAACCTGGGAATGAAATCTTGGGCTGGGAGCTGCAGTGAATATTTTATACCACTCCCTCCCTCCCTTCTCCGTTGGATCTCAACAGCAGTCTCTAGCCAACATAATTCTTTGTGAGTTACTTTCGTTAGCAAAACCTTTCACCCTAGGAAGATGTTCTACTTAATTAGTAAAAGTTCAATTTTTTTGTCACAGACAGGGCTCCATACATCACCACGTCTGGAGAGTCATTAGCTGTAAAATTAATCAGGGTGGATAATGGCTGAATAGAGTCAGAGCCCTTTGTGTTCCTTCCCACATCTCTGCCTCCAACGTGAGAACTTTTTCAAGAAGGGGAATCCAAAAAGCATCTCCAAATATCCAAGAGACCGGTTTCTAGGGTAGCACTGGAGTCAGGGGTGTTCCTGAGCCTGAGGTAGAGGGGGGCAATCAGGGAAAGAATGGGATGGAAAGCCAGAGGCTTGTCAGCTTTGATCCACCTTCGTCAGACCCACCAGGAACTCCAGCTGAGGGACTCCGAAAGGATGTTTGAGGGGTGAGGTTTTCCTTTCACCCACTTGTGGGAACACGTCAAAGGAAATCATTTGTCCCTTCTTCATGGGCAAGTTTGGTGTAAGTTTGGGTTGTGAAAAATGGCCAGACAGAAGGGTTTGCCACAGACCATGGCTGAGAGCTGTGTGCCATGAGAGGGTGTCCTAAGGAAACCCAGGCCTGCAGGAGAAATTCAGACAAGGAGATGACTGAGTTATACCCCAGCTTGTTCCTGTGGGGCACCAAAGGAGCCCTGACACATTGCTCTGCCTCCTGGCAGACACTCTGCTGGGTGTTTCTGGCAGCCCCACTTTATGACCCCTGATCATTCTTCAGGGTTGGTGTGTGGGAGGGATGAAACCAAAGTGCCTTTGCTCCTGTGCATTGCCCAGGATTGCTGCCAGCAGAGTTTTCTGCAGCACATCACAGCTCAGCCTTGGACTCCTTCCCCACTGGATACTTATTTCTGCTCAGGAAATCTCTGCTTTAGGTATTTACTGCAATTTCCTACAAGCTCACCTATTCCAAGTGGGTGAACACACACAAGAAGTCCAAATGACCAGCGGCTCAGCATGAATTTGAAAGTCAGCTTCTTGCTTGTTTTTTATCCTTTCACCAGTTTGCTCCCCATTTATGGAGCCTGGGCTTTTTCTTCTGGCATCTGGAGCCCCTCTGTAACCACATGCAGATCGGGAATGTTGCACCAAGTTGTGCAGAGGATGTGGGACACTTTGCAGGAATCTTGGGATGGGTACATTAGCTTAAGATGCTAAGAGAATAATAAAATCCTGTGTTGTGCCTGTCTCCTGAGCACAGGACACGTGTCAGTCTCACATCACTTTTTCCTGCTCTATGAGCAGGGAGATGCTGGTAGCTAGTTCTGAGGAAAAACAGTGATATTCTTTATTTACTTTCTGTTGCTGTTAATATTATTATTGTTGTTATTGTTATTATTATTATTAGGAGGAGGAGCAGTAGTAGCAGTCCTTACAATTTGATTGGCAGCAAAGAGAAATAATAAGGGATAACACAAGTGACTACAAGCAAGTTGATTTTACTTATAATTTTCCATAACTGATCGCAGGATCTCGTTAAAAGTAAACTCCTCGTGCTGCATTTCATTTTGCTGCAGAACAAGACCAGACAGGAGGGGAGGAAGGAGATATTTCATTTGAACAAAAATACATCTTCTCACTGTGTAATTTTCCTCCTCAGAAAACGTCTGAGGAGCTGCCCTGGGAACAACTTGCCCAGGCTCTGCTCTGCCTCCAGGACTTGCCAACCCTTGGTTGCCTCTGCTGATGCTCATAACACCGGGGCATTCTGGAGTCTTCTTTGACTAAGGAGCGGCTCAAGGCCTCCAGCTCTGTCCTCACACTCCTGTCGAGTGCAGTTAAGTGAGTTGTTAACAAATGGGAAGTGATTTCTCTGCCACATCCCCCCCTGGGTTCGAGTCGCACCCAGCCGGAATCACAAACACCGGGGCTTTGTCCCTAAGAATGAAGCATGTGTGTCTGGGCAAACAATTTTGTCCTTGGTGTCTGATTGATTTATAAAGCTTGTTTTCAGTGTGTTTGTGAAGGGATAAAGTAGGAAAAAAACAGAGGCTCATGCCTCAGAACTCCTTGATTCCTTGCAGTGGGACATCCTTTAGGCGAAGTGTCTCTGCAGAGCTGCTCTTGTGCTTCCCTGGGCAAAGCAAGGGGGTAAACCAAATGTTAATATTCACCCAAAGCAATATAGATTATGCATTTCTCTCCCCTCTTAATCATTCCTTCTGAAAACAACAGGAAAGGGGAATTTCTCTTAGGCTCAATTGAAAAGTTTTGTTTTCCATTAAGCATAAAGTTCTTTTTCATCTTTGGGAATCCTTAAGCTCAAGACAAATACAATTTGGATAACATAAAGCCCTGTTTTCTTCTGAAGAGACTCTTCATTTCTAAAATGCCAAAATGGGATATTATCTTTCTTATTTGCTCTTGTTTCCAGATTAGCTATTTGAGGGAGTCAAAACAAATTTGTGAAAATCTTCCTGCGCCCTGAAATTACTTTTTCAGCAAACAAAAAGTTGACCTCTAACATTATACCCAGCTACAGTTATCAAGATTTGTTTCAGGCTTTTCCCAAGCACGTTTCCCTCTTAAGCTTTTATTAACAAGGACTGAAAAGCTCAGTTTCCAAACAAGGTGGACTTTCAGGCCACAGGAGGGTTTGACAAGGCCTGTGGTGTGCAGGACCCCAATGGGTGGGCTGTGCCATACTGGTAATCTCACATATACAGGCAGAAAGATGCCCCAAGCCCATCAAGATCCCATCTTTAAAGCACTTAATAGGTGGACCATTAGCACTTTAAATATTGTGCAGATTATCCCTGCTGATTTAGACAAAGAATGAAATGGTATTGATTCAGGATTATGGCCAGGTAAAGACACCATCATGCTGTTTGTTTTGTGCTTGATGTTCATTAAATGAACTAATTTATAGATAGGATTAGTGTGATCTATAGAACAGAGGGCAGGAACTGAAAGCAGTACCTGAACTACCCGAACTGCCTAAATGGAGACTGGATCAGGGTTTAGGGGAAGAAAAGAAAAGGAAATATGGGGGAAAGATGGGTGAAATATGGGGGAAAGACAAGATGTAAACTGGCCTGAATTCTAGTGTAGTGAGGAAAGTTCTTTCAAGTTCTGTTCTATCTGAAATTCTGCTGCTTTGCACTGAATTCTCCTGAGCATAAATACACAACTTCTCATTGCCAGTTTGGGATCAGATAGACTGGGAGAAGGTTCAGGTACAGAGCTGTAATTTGCTTCCCCTCTACACCCATAAGTTATCCCCAGTTACCCCCAGAGTGCACTTTTCACTCCTCTGGAACATCAGCTACCACAGCTTTCTCCCAGAGGTGCCCTGGTGCCATTTGGCACTTGGGGTAGTCACGAATCTTCTCCCAGATTTAGCAATTAGTTTGATATTTACCTGGGGAGTCGATGAGAACATTTTTTAAATGACTACATCTCGGTGGGGGGAAAAAAAAAGGCAGTTTTCCATACAAGTATACACAAAATACAGTAAACTGATTTCCAGATTCTCTTCCTTTCTCCCACCCCTTGGCACTCAGCACCACTCTTGTGCCGGGGAAATCTGCTGTAAGTAGATCTTGACAGCCTGAGAGACAGTGGTCTCTGAGGGCTCAGAAATCACCCTGTGCTCCAGGAGACACATTTCCAGCCTCCCTTGTGAGGGCTGTGCTGATCCTGGCTTTCCTTTTCCCATCTCACCTGTTCCATGCTGGGGGAACATTTAGTCACAGGTCCACAGTGCTCAGCCTTGATCTCATGAGAGGCATAAGGTGCTGGTATCATACCTGTAAGGAAAGCAAAGGTTCTCCATCCCCCCTCCTCTTGTCTGAAGCTGAGAGAGGAGTACATTGGTGTCCACAAGAGGCTTGAAAAACAAATCATTTTTGTGTTTGTTAAGCGCTGAACTTCACACAGTACAAAACAGGCAGGCAAACCTGCTCAGCTAATTAAGATCCGGGGAAGGAAGCAAAATGGGGGCTAGTGAAACTTCCCAGGAAGGCTGGAATAACTCACCAGTTATTAAACTCTGTTAAGCCAAAGAAATGCCAGCACAGGATGATCCCACAGCCCAGCATCATGCAGATATCACAGAGAGGGGAATCAGGTTTTTCCAAGTGTTTTCCAGCTTCATTGCAGCATCTGCCCCAGGCACAGAGCACCCAGACAATTTGATCCAATTTGTTAGCAAGATACATCAGGCTTCTCCATAGTCTCTTTAGTCTCCCAGGTTCCAGGATGAAAAACCTCGAAGTGCAATTCTAGAGCAAAAATGGCTCCAAGGCACCCAGGTTAGAATGAATGTGCTTTAAAAGCATCTGTTAACTCTGTATTTCTTTTCAGCAACGAAAATTACTTCACACGCTGCCTGCAATTTCCATACACAGGACTTCAGTGCTTTGGTGGATGGAAGGAAGGAAGGAAGCCTGGAGCATGCAGAGGGGAAGGTACAGCACAGCACTGTGCATAGCACATTTTGCAGTAATCACTTAATCTGAGTTCTTTTCAGACTCTTCTCTGCAGGGTGATGTCTATGCAAGAGCCTGTTTTTCAAAGCATCACCCATCCCCTGCTTGTTCACAAAACACAGACCAGGACTCCTGGGAGGCTTTGCCACAGGAGGCTTTGCAAACTCACATTTGCCTGAGGGACTCCTATCCCACCTCTGTTTTTCCAGCTGGCTCTGCCTGCTTGGTAGTGGCTCTTGGGGACCAGGGGAAGCCCTCCTGGCCAGCAGTTCTCCATCTCAGGTCAGCCAGTGGAGTGGCACAAAGAGGCACAGAGGAGACCTGGGGTGTTGCTGGGGATGTGGAGCTGTAATCCTTGAGGGGTGAAGGTGGCACATTCAGCCCTAAGGGAGATGTGGGGAAGCAAATCCACCATCCCAAGGTGATCTGCTCCCCCAGCTCTCTCAGGAAGCCTGTCCTTCCACAGGCAAACATTTCACTGGGTATCACCCACCAAGACTCAGTGGGCACTCACCCTTTCCTACTACAAATATCTTCAATTGTCATTTGTTCCTGATTCCCCACAAAAACACAAAAGCTTGAGCTCAAGTGCTCAAGTACTTTTTTTATTCTTTACTATTGTCACTGTTTTTCCCATTCCTCCTCATCATGCAAACCCAAAAGCAAATAAATAAACCCCAGCTTAATTGTACATGTGCATATGAACAGCACAAAGGAGCCATTAACACAATCAGCAAAAAGCACTAATTCCAACAGTCTTTCCCAGGGCCCTTTGTGGAATGTGATGTTGGAAGACCCTCTGTCGAGCTGCTCAGGAGTGAGGTTGCATCTCTGTCCATCTCTGCCTCCATCCTCCTCCCATCCCTTGAAACCCCTGCATTCCCTGGCCAGTCTCCTACTAGGATTCTCCCTGGCACCCCAGGGTTGCTCTTCCCCTCTTTCTGCCTCTCCCTGGGCTCTCTTTGCACCCTCAGATGTGGGATGCCCAGGGTGGAAAGGGCATCTCCTGCCAGTTGGCAGATGGAGGGAGCAGATCTGGATGTTGCCACTGGAGATGGCAACAGATGCTTCCTGGTGGAGGCTGTGCTGGCTAATTCAGGGCTTTGTGGTTTGAGACAGAATCCCAATTATTTCCAATTAGGAGATTGCAGTGACAGCTGCTCTGAACAGGGCCTTGTCTTGCAGCTGAGGAACCTGTCTGCACATTCAGTTGGGCTTGGATACCTGCGCTTCCAGCACGGACCACTCATCCTGGGTTTTATTATAACCTCTTCTTCTTTCTCCTCTTGTTAAGGTTCCTCTCTCCCAGGAAAAAACACCACTTCTCATGAGGAATTTGGCAGTGGAAACACCCTTAGCTCTCCTTCACCAAAATCCATTTCTTTTCTCCTTTCTATATGCAGGATTTAATTTTCCTGTTGTGCTGTCCAGCTCCCCCTCTTCCCAGTTCTCCCATTACTCCTGCCTGCCCTGTGATGTATGGCCCTTGTCAGGCAGTTTTGGCCTGACCCAGGCAGCCAAAATCAGAGGAAAACCTGGTTTTATTTTGCCTGGGGAGAATTCATCACAGAAAGTGTCTCATTTAGGGAAATTAAGGATGAAGGAAAGGGAGAGCTGGAAATTTATTCTGGTTTAGTGTTAAAAACATATCTATCTACTGCTGTGTTAAAGGCTGGTATTTTCTCTCCACTTTCCTTTTGCTCTTGTCCAACCATATCACACAGTCCAGAGGCAGAATTCAGGAGAAAGGGGCACAGGGCCCCTTGCTGGCTTGAAAATGCTGCCTGTGGTAGAGAGTGAACAGGATAAGGAGATGCTGAACAAGAAGACATGTTTCTCTCCATTCTGTCTCACAACTACTCATCATAGGCAAACCTAATCCTAAAAATACAAACTAGACAAATCCTTTGGAAGGAGAAGGAGGAATTTGCGGTTGCTGGCTTTGGTTAGAATTCAGCTACATCCTTGTTTGTTTGGAAACTGAGCCTGTTGAATCCCAGCAGGGCTGAGCAAACCCACAGTGAATCCTGAAGTGCACTGTGTGCAGTCCTGGAGAGCCTCTTCCACAGCTGCTGTCTGCCCTCCCCGAGCACAGGCACAGGGATCCTTCCCGATCTCCCTTTTCCACCTCCCTGTCCAAGGTGCAGTGAAAAGTTCCTGGTTTCCTCAGGGAGTATTTCCAGAGTATGTTTTCTCATATAGGGGAAGGTTTGCACTGTGGGCACCAGGGAGCTCTAAAGCAGATTTGGGGAACCTGAAGGGCAGGTTTGCCATCAGAATTCCTTCCTCTGCTATAGCAAACCCACATCTGGAGGGAGCCTCTGACCTATCTCGAGAACCATTTGTCCTGGGGGGACACTGCCCATGCTGAGAAGGTGATACCAAGGGCAGGCCAGGTCCCACCTTGATCCAGGTGATTTAAACAGCAGTGCTGGGCTGGGAACAAACCTCTGCTGCTGTCAAACCCACTGACACCAACAAGAATTTTGACAGCAGGTTTTGTCACATGGTGTTTTTCTTGATCCCTGCACAGCAGTGGTCTTAATCATGCTTTCCATTTTACCTGGGATCCAAGAGGGAAGATTTTAGTCCAGGAGATTTTTCAGTGTGGTACTGGAATGAGTGTTGTCTATTAATTCATGTGGAGCCCTTAGATGCTGCAGAAGATAAGTGCCTTGTAAATACAGATAAACAGATCAGATTAGACCTTGACAGTGCTTCATGCAAAAGGCATTTTTATGTGCAAAAATAATAACATTGTAGAGAAACAGCTATTATTTGAAACCTTGGGCTAGAGCTCCCATAATTGATATTGTTGGAGGAAAGATGAAGCTAATGGAGAAGAGCTGCTGTGATTGCCCTTTTGTCATTGACTAATTCTTCCAGCAACCAAAGCCACATTACCCAGCTCCCATTTAGACCTCAAAGCAAGTGGTCACATTTTTCAAGAGGGCACAGCTCAGTGAGAGCTGAGTCTTTTCAGAACTCCTCTTGTGAGTGCTACAACGGCAGGGAGGAGGGAAGGAGAGGGCTTTTGGAAACGTGTCCTCTCTTCTACATCCTGACTGCTTGGAAATCTGGAGCGTGGCATGGCCCGGAGAACTTTCACTGGCCAGGAATGTGGGCTTATCCATGTCCTCCTCAGGAATTTCAAAAGAAGGAGAGGGATGTAGGATTCCTGTATTATCAGCTCAACAGGGGCTGATCACAGCTGCAGGATAACTGGTTCCTGCTCAAGCCCACTCAGGTACAAGCTCCCAGCACATGGGAGATTCCCCCACTGATGCAGATTGTTGTCTTCCTAAGCTGCACAGCTCTGGTCTACTGCAAAGGCAGACCCTGGATCTCAGTTTCTCCCCACAAAAATGAGAGATGGAAAAGCAGAAAATAAACATCTGAGTGATCTAGGAAATCCTGAAACAAACAGCAGTTTTGTTCCTCAAACAAGTTCCAATTAAGTGACAGCATTACTCCCTCAGCACTGCATGTTCCCCGTTGCATCAGGTCCAAAACCCAAGTGCTTAAAAGCCAGGGGATAAATAATGAAGAACATCATGCATCTTTCATTGCCTACATAAAGCATATAAAGGGTGAAATCCCGACCCATCCGAACACAGTGTCAAAGTTCTTCTTGACTTTAGATGAACTTGGATTTTACCTAAATTGTTTTGTCAAATACAGTGAAATGTGTGGCATAAGATACCTCAACAATCTTAATTCTGACCCAGGAGAGATAATTTTCTATCATCATTTCTAGAATTTAAACAGAAAACAAAGGCTGTTTAAAAAAGGTGAAACACACCTACAAAATGAATGTTGATTTGAAGACAAACAGTATTATGGAAATCCTCTTTTTTTTTTAATATAAAAATGAGCACATATTCCCCTCTTGCAATTGCAGATCAACTCGATAATAATGGCACTTAGAAATACTTCAACTAACTAATCATATTTGCCACTTAAGAATATTCCTTAAAAGAAAATGTTTGTGCACCAAATTCAATCAAATAAAAATTCCACATAAAAGAGGGGGAAAAAAATCCTAACAAACAATCCACAGGTTAAGCATGAAGTTGTTTTGTCAAAATAAAAAGTGCACTTCTTTGTACTCAACTTAAAAACATATATTTATTATGTGGGCAGTATAGGGTTTCAGGAGTCCTTAATCATTCATTTCCCTGTTTTTAAGTGTGACGGCTTTGCAAATGATGTGATAAGTAAGTACATTGTTGTCACTTAGCAACCTTAACTCCTTTCTGAAGTGAGTTGTTTGTTTCTATTATAGATGAGGCACTCGGATACCATGGTGATGAGCAGCTGAGACCTTGTCTGCTGTGCCAGAGCCCGGCCTGGTAAATGGGATACTCCTTGGAGGGATGAGGTCCTCGCACAGACGAGTAGCTCTTCACTCTTGTCCACAGCACAGAAAAGTGGTCACTAGCGGTGTTTGTGCTGCCTTGTGAGGACCTGAAAGCTGAAGACAAGACTCCTCCTCCTTTCAGGCAGAAAACCTGGAATGTTGCCCTTATCTATGGTCACCTCTCCAAAGTCCAAGACCCTTTCTGTCCATGGTGGCTTTGCAGCCAGCTCTCAGATGCTTCTGTTGTTATCATCAGCCTTCAGGGAGAAACTTTATTCTTTACTCTGCACTCTGAAAACACCACGTTTGCATCTCCAGGCATCCTGTAGAACCACATTGGGCCTCTTCTTGTCCCCTAATCACTCCTTTATGCACTTCTTCTGGTGTATCACAGCTATAAAGCCAGTTTAAGCAGCTGGTGGAAGACTGCTGGCCTCTGGGAAGCCTGCTGTGATAAAGAACCTCCAGTGTGGTCCCTGCACATAGGAACTGATGCCAGGCCTTGAGGTCTGTGCCTGGGGGGGGGGAAAGGGAAAAAGACAAATAGTATGGCTGAGACAGAACTCCCTCCCTCAAATGTGAGCTCCTGGTTTCTGGGAGTAAATTAAAGCAGAAGGGTTAATAACAAATGCCAAAATAGATTTTAGACAACTGTGTTCTGGTCTAAAACTCTATTTAATTGTACAAGGCTTCATTAAATCCCTGGACACGGTTGATCTGCTAGAGCTCACCTGATTTTTCCAAGTCTTCTTTTCCCTCACTCCTTCCCTGTATTTCCTGACTTCACACTCAATCTATTTGTATGGCTGTTACAGCTTCTTGAGTTTAAATTAATCTTTTAAAGAAGGCTGAACCACATGAACTTTCTTTTGGTTTTAGAAACCACATCCATATTCATAATCCACTAATCATGTTTGATAAATCAGAATTCATTGTGAAACGCACTAACCCTTCATGTTGCTTCACTTTTTAATCTCGTGGGGAAAGCAATCATCTCTGCAAGGGGGTTGGGCTGGGCTGTCTTGGGTGTCTGCTTGAGTCAGCTTCCCTGTTTGTACCATACAGCTTGTGCTTCTGGATCTAAGCTATCATCTCAAAATGTAATTAAGTCTTCAGCACTTCAGGAGCAAGAGGAATCTTCGCAGTGTGAATCAAACACCATCTTCTCAGTGATGCTGGCTTGAGTCTGCCACTCCTCTGGGAGAGCAGCTCAGAGCTTTCTTCTCATTCCAGAGGTGTAACCACACTGCAACCTCGAGATCCCTTTTGCTTCCCAGTCACAGTGGTAAGAATTGCACCTGCAGTCAAAGAACAAACAGAGCTGACTGTTTGTAGGGATCAGAAGGGTCTGTTGTCATTCAGTGGCTTCTTTAACCTGGCTACAGTTTGTGGGTAAGAGTGAGGAGATGGCATTTCTGCCCCTCAGTCATTTGCACAGGAATGTTCATATTCAGATGTTTTCTAACTGTTTGCAAAATGTTGTGGGGTTTTTTTGGCAACATCTACATAAGTGCAAGTTTAGCTACCTCACCTTTTTTTTTTTTATCCCCATTGGTTCATTAATCTTTGCTTTAGAGGAGGAGTCTTCACATGAGTCCAGAACGTCTGATCTGTTCTCTCTGCTCCTGCCACCAGCTCCAAGATGGTCCCTTCTTCCCCACAGGCTGAGACAGGAGCCCACAGAGGGGGAAGGACAGAGATAAAGTGAAGTACTCTGGACCAGGGCCACCTCCTGAGGAGGGTGTCAAGGTGCTGGCTCCACTCCACACACTGGAGCAGCTCTGCTTTCCCACACTCCCAAGTTTTGGGCTCCCGTGCTTTCCCAGAGAAATACAGCTGTTGTTTGCCCAGGCAGATTCTAAGCCTGCCACACTCAATAATTCAGTGGTGAACTTTGGAGCTGCGACCAGGTTGAAAAAAAAATAACTTGCTTTAGTAAGTACGAAATCCCCATCCCTGCTGCCTTCGCCTCTCCCTCCCTCCTCCTCTCGGGCAGCCCCTGCGATCCAACCACTCCCCGCTCTTACACGGAGCGCAAAGGAAAGGCGGGCGGGGAGGGGGAAAAAATTCATTTCCTCTCGGTGGGATGTTTATTGTTTTTCCTGCCCTCGGCAGCCCGAGGTCCCTGTCGTTTTCTGTGGTGTTTTATAAAGGGAACGGTTCTCGCAGGCACCGAGGAGTTTATCCGCAGAGACACCCGGAGCCTGGAGATTTGAGTTTCCACCTCGCTGACGCCGCTGTAATTGGGGCTCCCGGGAGAGGAAACCCTGACAAGTGACACAAATAAACCCTGCCAGACCCCTCTCAAGACCTGCAGCACGGTAACCCCAGGAGGGCTCCCGTGATCAAATTACCCTTAAACAAATGCTTCTGCAGGAACCGAGGATGTAACTGCTGAAGGTCAGCGAGGTGCACGTGGGACGTGTTTGCTGGGTTTGAGTTCCCATCACCCGCTCCAAATCAAGGACCAGGAGTTGCAGCACCGGCAAAATGGAACTGGGGGAAGCTGCAAAGCTAATTAAACCTCGTTTCTCCAATTGTCTAGGAATACATTTATTTAGGCCTTCCCTACGCCTCTAGCTATTCAGGCATAATTACAGCAGCACTGTTTCCCTGAATATAAATGAATAATATAAAGCACACACGTTTTCTTTCCTGTGAACTGAAATTTGGCAAGGTCTATGACGTTCTTTTGGAGAGCTGATGAAAACATTTTGAAGATGTCAGCATCTCAGGTTAGGAAAGATTGATAGGCAGATAGATATGGAAATACAGATATATCCATAGATATAGATATATAAAAATGATTTACAGTTTGCTTTCTTTCTCCCACCCTTTTGCAGTAAGCTTTTTAGGGAATGGCTTATTGTATAAATACATGTAATTTCCATGTAGGAGGAAAAATAATTAATACTGATGTAAGTGTCATTTAAACAGCTGGCAGGGAGTGTATTTCAGGTGCTGCACTGCTTTAACCGATGGTTAAAACAAGAAAAGTCCCCATAACTGCCTCACAAACTGGTGTAAAAATTCTGTACTGACCTTGTACAGACCACAAATAGCTCCTTCTGACAAAAATAGTAAGGCAGAAATTACAGATGTAATACAAAAATCATGGGATGAAATTCTCAGACTGGGTTATGTAGGAAGTTCAAATTTGAAGACCAAAAGAGTTCATAATTATTGATTAAATTATTATTATATGTTAATTTATTCTGGATTTCCTCCAGAAGAGGCTGCTGGGTTTGAAACATAATCTTACATATTAGTTAGCACAGAGCTTTGTTGTAAGCCCAAGGCCTGGAAGAATCTGTAAGTTCCACGAAACCTTGATGGGACTCAGGAACTTCAGATTTTCATAGAAGGAATTAGTCATGGTGTCAAGGGACTCCTTTGTTCCTTGCTGATTGTTTGTCTCTTAGTCATTAAGTGAAGTTCACATTCCTGGAAGGAGCCCTGTTGACAGCTCATCTCTTGGGGTTTTGTTGCAGCAGAAGCAAGTCCTGGCCCTGGATCTCCTGTCATTCCATCCTCCCTGTGAGCTGAACTCTTCCACAGGAGGAACAGTTTGTGCCAAGAGGTTGGCATTCCCCGGAACAAAAATCCCATTCCGGACTCATCTCCCTGCAGCTTTTCATATCCCTGTAGTAAAGGACAAAGCCCAGGGAACTTTTCTTGAACGACATCCCGGGGGACGGGAGGAAAATCTCCAGCCCTCATCCAGTCCCAGTGTCCCAGTGCAGGGAGTGTCCCAAAGGCACTTCAAGGTCCTGAGGAGTCCAAAGTGTCCCAGGAGGTGCAGCCACCCTACCATCAACTCACACATTCCCAACAGGCCCAAGTTTTCCTGCTGTCCCAGTCCCTCAGGGCCCCAGGCCATGCTGTGCTGGTGGTAAAAATCACGATCACAGCATCGGACTTTTGTGTGTTACCCTCAGCTCACAATCACCACAAGATGATTTAATTGCATGAGAAAATGTTCTCTTTAATCTTTTAGAATTAGTCATCTCTTCCTCAGTCATCTCTCTATATTTTTGGTTAGAGAGACTGAAAATCTTAATATATCAGTGACATTTATAGCACATGTTAATATTATAAAACGTCAGAGCTCTATTTGCAGAAATGAATACTGATGTGATGGGAGTGTTTTATTATGTCAGTGACTTTTATTATAAATATGATAAAACTGTGTCATCCTTTTTTTTTTTTTTCCAAATAAAAAATAAAACCACCTAATCATTTATCCCAAGGTTACTGCTCTGCTACCTGGTTAATTTATTCAACAGCACTGCAAAAAAAAAAAAAAAAAAAGAAAAAAAATACAGCCTGCAATGGATTTTCCCATAGTGTGGTCACTTGATGGATGTTGGCATTGACCTGCACGTTTGTTTAGGATTAGAATGTGACAACGAGCACAGAAACAGGGTTCACAGAGCAGCTTCCTGTGGACACAAAGCCAGGAGATGAAACCTAGTTTTAAGGGGATAATTAATCGTTACCAGAGAGTGAAAGGTGGCTTCATATCGTGGCATCTCCACTGCTGAGAGTGCCTCAATCCCACCAGCCCTGTCTGCAGATGATGCTTTTGAGAAGGTTCCCTGCCTGATTCTCCCCTGGCCCTCGGGTTCATTCCCAGACCCACAGAGATCTGGGAGCTCTGGATGGTATCTTGAATGAGCCCATTTTATGGGCTATGATACCATCTTACTAATTAATCTTTAGTACTTTATTAGCTGGTGTTTGCTGTGGTGAGTAAGATGAACTGCTCACAATAAGTTGTTGCACTTCCAGCCCCAAAAGGTGGCAAATTCACAAAAAAATAAGAGCTCATTATAGGGATAATGATATTTGATTGAAAAGATTAGTAATACTAATAATTCTATACATTTCTGCTCTCTTCTTCTGTTTGAATTTCCTTACTAATTTTTTTTTTGAAAATGGCAGAACCATAAGAATCATCTTTACAGGCAATAAAATATCAACGTATTTAAAAGAGAGAAGAGGGAAGCTTGATTCAATTCATGCAAAGTAACATAACTCCAGGGGCTGGGATTTTTCAGAGTGCCAAGAAATATCAGGAAAGTCCTCCAAAGTTGGGAGCAGCCACCATAATGAACAGGCACATCCTTGGTCCCTGCATGATGAGGGATCTGTTCCCATGGGGAGCAGCACAGGGAGGACAGAGGTGGCAGCACTGAGGTGCTGTTGCTATGGTTAGTGGTGTGTAAGACTTCAGGATTTTATAATTTTTTTTTTAACTTTAAACTTTTCCTCCTCCCCCTCCCCTTCTGTCTCTGTGCAAAGGGAAACCCAAGATTCCAGTCCTCGTAAGGAAGACATCTGTTTTGGGTAGTGACTTGGAGGAGGTCAGGGATGGGCTGCTGTAGCAGATAATAAACCCAGAGGGAAATTAATTAAGTGGGTGTTTTTAATGGTAGGCATCTAAAATGTCTATTGAGACCCCCAGTCTGGTTTTGCAGACCCCTCTGCTGCTGCTGAGACCTGGCAGAATCATTGCACCGTGAGAGGAGGGTGGCCAGGGGAGTCTGAATGAAAAGCCGAGGAGCCAGAGCGATGGGAGACTCTTCAGATGGCACCAAACCCAACAGCAGCACTGGGCAGGGAGGCTCCCTCAGCTGCCACTTGAATGAAAACCATCCATGAGCTGCCTCTGCCCAAGTGCCCAGTCATGGGATGCTCTGTGGGAGGAGAAACAACTCCACCCGTGCCCAGTGCAGAGACCTCCCAGAGGGGAAGGGGTGAAGTGACCCTCCCTTGGGGCATCACTGATGGGACACAGTGGGATCTGTCCTGGCTCTGCAGGGCCACCCCTTGCCCACACAGCAGGAGCATTGCTGAAATCCTGCCTGGGTTGTCAGGCTGCCTCACAGCGTGTTTGGGATGGTTCCCCAAGGACTCCAGCCTGAAGTAGCACGATCACACAGCCAGAGAGGGCTTGTCCCTCCCTCAAGGGAGCCACAGCAGCACTTCAGCTGGAGACAGAACAACAGCTCTTTAAAAGAAAGTGCTGCAGCTTCTCTTTTGAATGTTCCACTGGGCTCTTGAGGAGGTTCACAGACGTCTGCAAGGCTCTGAATGCTAAAGGATGCAGTAATGAGCCCTCCTGATTCACAGCACTGCCCAGCCAGCCTTGTAACAGGAGCAAGAGAACTCAAGGTGTCCTGTGGTTGTAAAGCAGGATGTGAGAATCAGCTCATTTCATTGTTTTCTGTACTTTCTTTCCCTGTTCTCAAGCCTTAAGGAAGGAGAAGGGATATAATCCTTCCTCCCTTGGGTTGCAAATGGCTATGGGTAAACTCAGAGTAAGGGAGTCAGAGCAAGTTATTTACCACTCAATGAAATGCCTTGTAAAAGAGACATAAATCATGGTTTATTCAGATGATTTCCAAAATTAGACCTACAAGACCTACAATCCCCTTCCACTTCTACTTGCTCTCAAAGAAGCTGCTCCCAGTATCCCACTGGTCTGAATGAACTGTTCTCTCTGTGGACTTTCATAGGGGTCTTGTTAGTCTACAGAAACACCCTTCTGTATAGCAGCCCATTGCACTCAGGAGTTTAAAGACCCATAGGAAATAAGGCTGGAAATAAGGTGTCCTGGGGCATGTGCAGATTTTTAAATCCCCAGTGTCACTTGGGCTGTTGAGATCTGGTCACAGATCTTGTGGGAGGTGTTGGCCTTGGAGCCAGGCTAAAAGTGGTATTGATGGGGGTGAGAGAAGGGAAAAGAATCTATAAATAGTTTTGAAAGATCTTTAGCTCTCAATACATCTATATATCTGTCTTTACCTGGCCAGCTAAGTACCAGAGTGTTTCCCTGCAGCCCTCCTTTGAGCTGTAGTTTAACTCCTGCCCTTTGGCAAGGGTGAAGTGCTCACACCCACAACAGGGAATGCCAGTTGTGTCCTCGCTTGGCTGGGGTTTGTTTACATTTCTCCTGCAAGTGAGCTTTTGTAACCCCCCCTTTCCTCTCATCTCATGCTCCAGGAGCTGCCACTGGGAGAGAGATCACGGGAGGGAAGGGATTCCCTGCTGTGTGTGCTGAGATTTCAAAGCCCAGCACTGGAGACCAGAGCTGAGTGGAGGTCACCCAGGAGATGCCTTTAGTGAGCTCCAGGGAGAACAGTGTGGTGTGATGGTGCATATAATACCAGCAAAGCAGTGGACCCTGAAGCAGGAGAGTGTCTTCAGGCTGGTGTTACCCTGGAATATAGAAAAGACTGAGTCTGAGTGGCTAAAAAGTTGGGAAGTTATGGCAGGGACAACTCATGGAGAGGGAGCTGAAGGTGAAGGTCAGCCTGTGTGAGATGACAATGGGAAAGAAACCATTATATAATGGCAGAGAAGAGAATGAGGGGATGAATTGAGCAGTCAGAGGGAATGTCTGAAGGGCCTTAATGCAAAGGCAGAGCTGCCAAATCCATGATGTTGCTGATAAACATGAGTAACCCAGGGAAGGAGCTGGGGCATCTCAGGAACTGAGAGAAGGACTGGAACTGAGGATTTTGAGGGAAAAAAAGCTTCACAGAGACGCTGGAGAAAACCAGAAGCATTGGCCTGAGGCAGAGAAGAGGAGAAAAGGATGTAGGAGTGAGGTACAGAGATACAAGATTGATTTATGGAGAGAGGAGAGCCCGGGAGAGGAGGACAGCCAAGGGGAAACACTGGCAAGAAGAATTCATTTGAGGGAGGAGTAATGCCATGGACAGGGACAGCCTGCCAGATCTTGGTACTCTCTTCATTTGAGTTTGTCAGTTTGCTGTGATTTCACCTCCATCTATCCCTTCCACAACCACCTTACTGAGCTTCTTAAGGATGACTCATTAAAAGGGGAAAAAAAAGGGGGGGGGAGAAAAATAAATGCAATATCCACCTATTTCTTATCTAAAATGAAAGGGCAAGCTATGCTTTCTCTTTGGGCTAGAAAATGCCTTTCAGAGCTCAGCTGGCATTTAATTTGTTTACTCTTTCTCAGGACTCTCACTTGCCTCACTCTGCTTCTGTTTTTCACAGTTGCTCCTAAATGGAAGGCAAAGCCAATAATGGCCAGGTTGGAGGTGAACTTTCAAACCCACAATATTGGAGCAGGTTCACAAGGAAACAAATGGAAGCTTCTCAGGCATAATTTAGGAAAACACTGGAGACAGATGTGCATGTGGAGCTGAAACCAGAACAGGAAGACCATGAACTTCGGGGTAGCAGGAGGATTTTCTGCTGTCTCAGGGATAAAGGGGGATGCTGACAACACCCCCAGGTGTGGGATGGAGCCCAGTGAAACTGGCCTTGCCCTGCCTGGAGATGTGACCTCAGCACTGTGGTGGCAATGGGTGGCAGTTAATGCTGACCATATCTGTAATGGTGAGGCTCAGCACCTGGACAGCTCCAAACGGGACTTTTAAATGCCATTAATGGAGCTGTGCAGCGTTTTCTGTTTCACAAGAACAGCAGTGGCAAGGCCTGTGCCAATTTTCAGTGTCAGGATGTGCGTGTGGACATGTGTGTGTGCACTACAGCCCTGCCTGCTTTCCCAGGGAGAGGAACTTTCAGGTCTGATCTGAAGTGGGAGGGAGCTGGAAACAGAGTGTCCTCTGAAGAAAGGAGCATCACTGCTGCGGGTCTGGTCCACACAGATGGGGACACAGAGGCAAAAGAAGACAGATGTTGACATTTGCCAGCTTGCCATGCACAGCCTCATTCCCTGTCATGCTGCCTTCTTCAAAGCCCAGACACCCCAACTGCTTCCCCACATCTTTTTCAGGGTCTCTTTTCCCTGAAGTCACACTCTCAGCACTTCTGGATGATATTTATCTCCAGAGTTTGTGGTGACTCAAACTGGAAGCCAACAGATCAGCAGGACCTTATGGCAGGTTGGAGTGGGAGAAACCAGGCACAGGTGAGTGGGTGTGAGGACAAGTTTATCAAGAAAGCAGCTAAGAGAGGCAAAAGAATGTCAGCCTTTGACACTACAGCAGATCACTTAGAAATGGAAAATAAATGTAAAATGTTCATGTTTCATAGAATCGTAGAGTGGTCTGGGTTGGAAGGAACCTTAAAGATCTCATTCCACCTCCTTGCCATGGGCAGGGACACTTTCCACTGTCCCAGGTTGCTCCAAGCCCTGTCCAACCTGGCCTTGGGCACTTCCAGGGATGGAGCAGCCACAG